AGAAGGAAAGCGGTGCTGCCTCCATTTCCATCTGAACACACCTGGGAGTGTTTTCTGGTTTTGGCACAGGGTGCCTGTATTGATCTCCGCCTCTGGGCTTTCCCTGAGCCCTCCTTCTCCTGACCGCTGTGGCTCCCTGAGATTTGGCACCTGTAACATGTACACAGCTGCTTCGTCATGCTGTTCTGAGCCTTGTAGCAGGCAGCCTTGTCTCATCCAGGCAGCTACTGATTGTGGAGAGTTCGGGGCAGGTGAGAGCAAAAGCTCAGCACAGGGAAGCGTGCTGTAGGAGGACATTTGCCTGAGGCTGTGGCCTTGTACCAGACCCTCTTATCCTTACCATGTGCTGGTGAAGAACCGTGTCGTGAAGAGACAAGACAGTGCTTGGGAGCTCACAGGGCAAAGAACTGTGCCCTAACCACCTGTCCGCCATACTCCAAGTGTTTGTGTGTCTTAAAGTGATGGACGTGAGGTCTCACCAAAAAATTGCAGGTCTCTCTTCTCAAAAAATTAACATAGTTGGGTAAATTTGGAGCTAACTGATGAAACACATTCTTCAGCCCTGGTAGAAATACGAACTTAATGAGATCTGAAACAGTTAAATAAATTACACAAAGGCTATGATCCTGTTGGTTACTTGTAGTTTTCTGTTTGTTTCCTAGAGAAAAAACACAAAACGAGTTCCAAGCTTTCGCAAGTTACTGAGAACTAGTAAAATAAAACTTGAGAACAAATTAAAGAATAAACAGTACAAGCAGCAGAGTGCTGCTAAGAAGTATCGAAAAGAACAGAAGAAGCTAAGGGAGGCTGTCAGAGATGCCATCTCTAGAAAACCTTTTCCATTGGAGGATTGCAAGAGAAAACAAGTTGGTAAGTGTTTGTTCAGACTTTTGTAAGTGAAAAGGTAGGAGGGTTACTAAATATCCCACTGCTTCATATTGTGAAATGATGTATCAAGAAAACATAATTTCATTTTTTGTGTACAAATACAATTGCTATTCCTGTTTAAAGGAAAGAAAGGGAGAGTTATGAAACATGCAAAAGGTATTGCCATTCTGGCAGCAAGATCTGACAGTGGGAGATGGTACAGATGTGTTTGCTTTAATCATAAGTGGATGTCACAATAAAGGGGCAGTTTTCTGGGATAACACAAAACATGCATTAAGGTTGGTAAGCGCAAGGTTGAGGTAAGGTGTCAGATGGTCTCAGGTTTAGGCAGGGTTAGGTTTTCAAGTTTGAATACATGCACAGGATCATAATCTGTACACATCATCTTCTAAAACAGCTGAAAAACGGGATGAAGAGGAGGAGGAAGATGCTCTTCCACTGGACATGATGGATGAAGATGACTTAAAATTAATGGAAGATTTGGCTCAAAAAGCATCATTTTTAACCAGAGATCTTTCTTCCAAGTGAGTGTTGTTGTGATGTCTACATTTAGTACTAATTCAGCTTGGTGTGGTTAATATGTAATGTAATCCCTATATCAGGAGGTCTGTTTCAGCCTGGTGTTTCTTTGCAGTTCCAGTGCAGTGTTTCCTTCGTCTGTCAGTACATTCAGTATTCATGTATTGATGTATCAGTACACCCACCTGCGCTGCCTGACCTGCAGGATACTGTTTCTGCACAGCGTTCGTTCCCATGAGGTCCCTGGCTGTGAGATGAGTTGCATTCCTCAAACTGGCAAAAATGCTTTAGTCTGGATACAGAGTCTTTTTTTCTATACAGAGTATTGCTGTAAAAAAAAGGTTTTGGAAGCCATGTCTAAATGCATGCAACACCAAAACATTCACATTAAAAATTTGTTACCAGTTTTCTGGAACAAGGTCTTAGGGAGAGTTCCCAATGAAATACACAGAAGGTTAGTTGGTTTTTTTCCCTATTTTACTGTTACTAGCTCTTAGCTCTTTCATAGTGTTCCCTTAAACTGGAGAATTTGTCATCTTAATCTGCTTTACTCTGATAAGATATAATTATTCTTTAGAACTTGTCAAATATTACCTAACTTATAAATTACATGTTCATATTAGCACAGATGCAATACTTGTTCTTACATACTTAAGCGCAGGTTAGGAACATACCCTGCAAAAGCGTGGTACGCCACTCTGCATTATTTCTGCTATCCTTGAAGAATGGGATGTGGCACAGGTGTTCGCAGTGGGCAGAGCAGAAAAGTGATAGTAGGACTAGTAAAAGTTAACATGAAGTAGGGATAAATAAAAATGTACACTGACCTACTCATTACCATGTCCTGGTTAAGCATTGCCTGGGAAGGCAAGGCAAGGTAGGGGAGAGCGAGGCTGTGGGACATTAGAAGGAAGACAATGGACTGTTTGTCTGGTGAGGGGGTCCTGCAGCACTGCTCAGGGTTAAGTTTTCAGTGAGTCTCAGCCATGTCAGGGCACCTGCTCGTGCAGTAGGGGAGCACAGCAGGGAGGGAGGCAGCTCTGGCCTAGGTGAGAGACAGGCTGTGCTGAGATCTGAATAGTTTCTGTTCTGCACTTTTGTATTTTATTTACGCTTTTCCAATGTTTTCAATAGTTTAGGGCCGAAACCATGTTCTGGAAGGATGTTTGCCTTTACAAGCTTCATCGGATTTGTTTACTGTTGCCTTATTTTAAGGGTCCCTGAGCAGTGCCATCTTAAAACCCATCAGCTCATACTAGGGTTTCCAGATGTCTGGTATGACCCAGAATCTCCCTTGTTTACACAAGAGCTGTCTTTTCTTCATGCTTAACAAATCAATCACAGACATACAGAATTCCGGTGATCATTGAGTAGGATTTTGGTACACAGTAAAGGTTTGATCTGCACAGGGGCAGCAAGGCAGAGGCTGGTGCACTGTCCTTACAATGCATGTGTAGGGTTACTGTGTAGTGTATGTAGGGAATCTGGGTAGAGTGGGATGTAAAACTACTTCTCATACATGTGAATTTTACTTTCTGAAGGCTAGCAGTCTCTGAGCCCAGAGCTTCCAGACTCCTTCAGATGTCCATAGTTGAAACTGCATCTTACAAGAACAAAAGCAGCATTCCTGTTATAGGATAGTGGCTTCAGCAATGCGATTCTTTATCCCTGGCTTTTAGTTTTCTAAAAGGATGAACTGATAACTCACTTCATTGTGTGCCTGTACTATAAGCAGTTACACCATTTAATTTTTTTTTCTAAATTCAAAATCAATGCAAGCATTTTGCATGCATGCATGTGTTTGCACGTGTATGCCAGCATTTCAAAATTCATGAAGTTGGCTGACCCTCCAGATTAACTAAATTTTACTTTGTCTTGGATTATTTTCACATTTGGTTTCCTATAAAAAGAAGAGGGGAAGCATTGTATTGTCCTGAATTCAAAGATCCTGTACAGATCCATATTAGCATTGTTTGATGTAGTGGTGACTGGTGCTGTCAGAGGTGGACACACTCAAACATCCCAGTTAATAAGATCGACCATTATTTATTCTTCTGAGTGTGGACACTTAATCCAGCTGGTATAGTGACCTGCATAGTTGATGTCTAATTAGACAGCCAATTCATTTATTTTGCCTTGTATTTTTCAGTGAACCTGTTCACATCAAAAAACGAAAACATGAAAGTGTGATTGACAAATATGAGAAGGTGCCAAGACGTATGCAGACTGAACCAGAAAAAGAACTCATCCATCTGCTCCCCATCAAAGACAAAAGCGGCATTATTCCCCAAACCATGGAAAAGCCAGGTAAGACACTGATTCTGGAATCGGTATAGTAGCCAAGGTGTGTATAATTTGTTCTTTTAAAATTCCAAAGTGCTTGACACTAGACACTCTTACTTTTGCAGTTCTCAGCGTTGCCCACGATGAAGAAGAGGATACAGAAGAAATGGAGGAGGCAGAGGGTAAGAAAACATGGTGTTAGTCTTGTGTGGTGTTATTGTGGTACCCATCTGAAATGGGGTATCTAGAACAGTAGTTTGAAATATGTTGTTTGTTAAGCAGCTTCCCTAGTGACCCTCCTTTCTGACTCACATCTTGTACTAGACTTCAGTGAAGAAGCCCTGCCTGTTCTCACTCCCGAGGAAATGGCTGCTCAAAGGAGGCAAAAGCTGCAGGAGAGGAAGATGCACATCGCTGCCTTAGCTTCGGCCATTCTCTCTGAGCCAGACAGCAATGTAGGTAGCATTCGCTTAACGTGCGTGTATGTGTGCCTGTTGTGCAGTAAGTCAGTAAATAAAGATCTGAACTGACCAAACAATAGCAAACGCAGAAAAATACATGAGTAGAACAAGGAAAAAGGTCATTATTGTATCACTTATTGGTGGTGGCAAACAGTGAAACTGCTACCATGGGCTGGTACAAACGATTTGAATCAGGTGAAGATCCAGGTGACTGTGCTCTGTTCAGTTGTAATTTGTCCCTCTGAATACTTGTGGTTTAGGAATAATACTGTCTGTGGTGTTTTCTGTCCAATCTACCTTGTTCCCTAAGCATGACCCAGAGTTGTATCTGATAGTTCTCAGTATTTCAGGATATGCTGGTAATTCACTATAATTCTGTGCAAATTTGTAATAGCCAGGGTAGTTTGAGCATTCCCAAGATAAACATTTTGTTGAAATGTCCAGCATTTATTGGCTCTTTATGCAGTGCTAAGTAGAGTCTGAGTAACTGCTGATTATTTTTTTTTCTCTTTCTAGTATACAAAAATGAGGCGCTTTTCTTGTGGCAAACTTTTGCTGAAACATTGTGTTTGTACACTTGTTTGTGGGTGATCTTCAGCTGACACGGTCTGCCTCTTGTCTTAACCAGATAAAAAAGCTGAAGGAGCTGCGTGCCATGCTGATGGAACAGGATCCTAATGTGGCTGTGATTGTTCGGAAGCTGGTCATGGTTTCTTTGATGGAGATATTCAAAGATATTGCGCCTTCTTACAAAATTCGGCCTCTGACTGAAGCAGAAAAGGCGACCAAGGTGAAATACCAAATTTCTTTATAGAATATTCTGAATAGCTCAGCGTTTTCTAAGTTATACCAAATAATAATACTGATTTGTTTGATGTGAATTTATAGTTTTGAGCAAAGGGTGACAAACTCACAAGTACTTTTGGAAATTCTGAAACTGTGACGCTTTCAGAGGCAGAGATCTTTGTTTTGAACCTGTAATTGTTACGTACTTCCTTCAGTAGCTAGGTGACGTGCTGGTGGTAACGGAGGGAAAAAATAACACCTGTAAGTAGTGTACCAAACCTGTGTGACTTCCGTCATAAACCTTGGAAAGATGGTGTTTTGTGTCACACTGAAAGGAACTAGAGAGAAAGCAAATTAAGCAGCATTGTCACCTAACTGACACAGATTTCTGTGTAACGTGTTAAATAATTTGCTGAACAAACGCAGAATAACTTGTTTTCTGAAGCTGCTTTAGAAGGTTTCTTGAATATAGGTAGTGGAGTTTAGAGTCATAGCTTTAAAATAAGACCTAGTGAAAAATTTCACTTCAGTAACTATAAATGAAATTAGCCTTGCTGGAAAAGGCCTTCTGAGCACAAGAACATGTAGAGGAATATGTGGAAATGCATAATGTAGAAAAGTTTAATTTTTAATGCGTTTCTAGGAATGTCTATCTAGAAGAAAAAACTACTTTGTTTATCTGATAATTTGTTGTAAAATTTTGGGGTTTTTTCACCATTGGCTAATTTCAGGATCTTGCTCTCCAAATAAAATTTCATTATGTTTACAGGTTAAAAAAGAAACTCAGAAACTGAGGGAATTTGAAGAAGGCCTTGTGAGCCAGTATAAATTTTACTTGGAAAACCTGGAACAAACAATTAAAGGTACTTTGATCAACACTTTCTGTTTTTTTGTAGTAAATGCAGAATTGTTTGCAGTATCACAGTTAACCTCTGATTGAATGCTACCTGCTGTATTTCATGCAAGTACTGTTTCATTAAAGTGTGTAGGAGAATGCCTGCAATAACTAAAAATGTAAATACTT